TAGTTGACTTAGTGTCATATTGTTTAAACCCCATATCCCTTTAAAAACCTCACACCTTAGCCTCTTTCGAACAAACCTGCATCATTAAATCCTTTACCCTTTATACCTCTTCAAGTATAAAACCTTCCAACTATAACATATTCGTCCAATTGCTTTGTGACCTTTTGAACAATAGTTTCCCTGTTATTAGTTGATAGTTAATCGTGTTTAGTAAAGGTAATCACGGTCAACAGTATTCATAATCATCCACCTCCACCTCCTCGAAAAACACCATATAATATAAAAAATCAACTTCAAAAAATAATTGATAATGAGCATATTTTAGATTTAACAGCAAGAAAACTTTTAACAGGTATATTATAATATATTTATATAATTAAAAAAAAATAATTTAAAAATTAAATTAATTTTTTTTTATAATTTTAATTAGGATCAATGATTAAAGCTTATTTAAATGGAAAACAAATAAGTAATTTACATTCTTCATTAAATAATCAATCTAAAATTAATTATTATATTGAAAAAACTAGATGTTCTCAGTATCCATTTGAACAAAATATTTTGGAAGTTACTTATGAATTTATGAAACATGAAATGAGTACAGATCCATATATTTGATCAATTCGTAAATAATTTTATTTTTAATTAAATTTATAATTAATACAAATTTTTTTTAATTTATTTTATTTATTTAGGTTTTCTTGACAATGGTCAATATATTATTTTATGTGCTACTAAACAACAACTTAAAACAATTAAAGAATTAACATATATTGAAATTGATATGGCATTTAAAAGAATCCATGGTAAAACAAATGAATGGGAAGTTTCAGCATATTTGTCTCATGTACAAAAAAAGTAAGTTAAATTTTATAAATTTTATTAATAATATTTATTAATTATTATTTTAATTAATTTTTTTTTTTTTTATTTAATATTAGCTTTGACTTTTGTTTGAATATTCACTAATATTGAGACTGCTGAAGCATATAAAAATTTATTTAATTTATTTGAAGATTTATTCATATGTATTGAAAAGAATACTGGTGAAATTTTTAATTTTTATTATATATATGGAAAAGGATTGGGTTGTATTCTTGCGGATCAACATAAAGGACAAGCTTTAGATAAATTATAATATTAATTATTTAGTTATTTTAATTATTTAATATTATTAATTTTAATAATAAAATTTTTTTAAAGGTTTAGGACAATATCTGTATTCAAAATATCCAATCTTTAGTCCAATAGAACATCTTCAACATATATATAAATTATGTCAAGTTCATTATAAAAGGTAAATATAACAGAATTAAAAAAAATTTTTTTTTGTTATAAAATTAATTTTCAATTAATTATCTATTATTTTTTTAGAAACATTTATAAAAACAAACATTTATCTCAAGAAATTAAAGATGCAATGTATTTAATTCCTACATTAAAAATACAAGGTGATGTTTTAAGAGTATTAAATAATATACAATTTTGTGATGAACCAGGAACAGAAGGTAATTATCAAATATTATTGATTGTAATTTAAATAAATACTAAAGTATTTGTTTTTTATAGATTGGGCAAAGGACAAACTTATTCCATGGGTATTATCTGGTATATCTGTTGCATTTACAAAAATGGATCATGTAATCTGGAATCAAACCCCAAATAATACAAATGCTGGAGAAAGTGCCCATGCTAATGTAAATCGTGATGGTTGTAATCTTTCTCTTCTTGCTAGAATTATTAGGTATTATTCATATTCATTTTATGTTTAATTGATTTTTAAAATATAATACTTTATAATTTATAATTTTTAATTTATTCTTCAGAGGATGTGATTTTGATAAAAGAAGTTGGGAAAGTATACATATAAACCAACAATATAATGTTTCAGATTCTTATAGAAATAAATCAGATTTGACCAGATCAATTCAAGCTGAGAAGCGAGCTGGTAAAAATTATTATTATTATTTTAATAAAATATTTATTTATTTATTTATTTTTATTTATTTATTTATTTAGAAAAAAGAAAAAAAGGCAAACAACTTGTATTACCCTCAAATAAAACAAAAAAGAAAAAAAATAATTCCAATAAGAATGATGAAAATTTACAAATTGATTAACAGCAAAATAGAGTAGCACTTGAAAAATTAAATATACAAAAACAAATGAATGATGAACTTGAAAGGGAAATTATATTACTTGAAAAATGAAAATAGATAATAAATTAATAACTATTATTTTACACATTTTATTATAAGAGTAAATAATTAATTGATTAATAAAGAACATATAATAATTAATAAATTTAATTTAAATAAATATGTACGCTATATAAAAAACTATTTCTCGAATTATTTTGTAATACAAAGTACGTAGTAATATTCCACTTCTTTACATCCTTCACAGTGAAATAATGAAGTTTCAGCATATTTGTCTCATGTACAAAAAGTAAGTTAAATTTTATAAATTCTATTAATAATATTTATTAATTATTATTTTAATTAATTTTTTT